TACCAGGCAAAATTTTTCAATAAATGTGAGGGTGGATGAAAACTATTATTTTAGATTCACATTCAATTCAATAAAATTATTGTCAGAAACAAAACTAGGCTATTTTACTTATTTTCATGAAAGAAATTAGGGAAAGGCTTTTCCTGGCTTTAAAAGGTGTGAAATTAACTTCAAGCACAGCTGCACAGGCATTTTTGTCTTATTCTGGCATGTAATATATCTACCTTTCATCACCTAGTGACTGCCAGTGGCAGTGGCCATAGTGGCAAAGCAGTCTAGCAGAGTTTTTTTAGAATCTCCTTCAAGTTCATTTTTGAGTCCTATAAGTAGACCAGAAAAGTATCATGGATACCAGCATTATCATATTTGATAAATTTGTTAAAATCTTGAGTGAATTAGGAAATTTAAAATGAACTGATTCTAAAAAATCTCTGGTTTGTCACTATGGCAGTGGCAAAGCAGAGATGTTTTTTAAACTCTCCCTCAAGTTCATTTTTGAGTCCTGTAAGTAGACCAGTTAAGTATCATCATATCATGGATACCACATACCAGCATTATCTTACATAAGAAATTGGTTTATGTCTTGAGTAAATGAGGAAATTAAAAATGAACTGATTCTAAAAAATCTTTGGTTTGTCTCCATACTCAGTCTGTTCGTCACTATGCCTTTCATGGCACAGACAGACAGAGCTTTCATACCATTTATAGAGCCACAAGATTCCTGCTACCCTGGTAGATGAATTAGGGTAAACGCGGTATATTCCGACACATTAAGGATGCATCGAGAAATGAAAAACTATAAAAAAAATAACCGTATGCGTTACTCAAGTTCCGTTTGCTTTATGTGACTTGCAAAACACCGTACTACACGCCAGCAACAATGAAACGTCACAAAATGTTGCCATATTTAATTATTTATTTAAAAGCCTTCAGAATGCAAACCTACCAAATCCCTATATTCTGACACTGTGTGTGGCAATTTTCGGCACATGGTGAGGCGTATTCCATCCGCGCTTCAAATTCTACTGATATGTAATGCCGTCATCCACGTGTTCGAATTCCGTTTGCTGTGTGAGCTGTATTGCAATACAACACGGCTTTGAATTAGAACACTAATGAATATTGAACACTACTTAATTACGCTTTTAATTAACAACTATTAAGCTTTTAATTGAGCAAATTTTAATTTTTGTACATAGCTTGGAACGATCTGTGTGTGTCCAATTCTAGTTGTGATGGAATTAGTTTTCATGTGTCTAAATACATTTCTCAACTTAATCATCTATTAATTTATTTACCACTTGAAATCAGCAAATACAAGTATACTTGAAGTATTCCTAATATATTCACAGACGTATTTAAAAGTCTCAAACCATTATATTCTTCCTATACAAACAGTTATTCACTATTTGGTAGAGCAAGGTCAACTGTCAAATTTGACACATTTTTCGATGATCTCACTGGGTAGCGTGCATTGTCTCTCTTTGGATCTCAATATTTTCCCACTAGATGGCCAAGACCTAGTGTTTTGGCAGTAGTTCAACGCACAAATGTATGATGTCACCATTTCAACCATCAACGAATGCATGGAACTAATACAAAGCTTAATATAAAGGAAAAACTAGAGAGGTGATGGAATTCCCCACGATGTCGGAATATACCGCATCGCATTTACCCTATCTCCTATCTAAAGGTGCCTGTACACGGGGACAGTACTGGCCGCCAGTTGATTTGCCACTTGTCACTTGAATTGTCCATGCTACTGGCTTCAGCTGCTTCAGTGGCATGTGTCCAAGACGTGGCTGAGATGGACAACAATGTGTTGTTTTCTTGGCCAAGGAGCAGTCAGTGTTGGGCTGATTCAGCCATGGTGAGAGCATCTGGGCTGCTTTTGTGAAGCAAATTGGGTCAAGTGAATCATGGCTTGTTTGAATGATAATGGTTCTAAGAAGAACCCAACAAAGTGGAGTCCAGATGATATTCAATTGTTCTTTGAGATATTCCAAAAAATATGAACTAATTTGGACTGCTTGCCATGCTGGTTACTCCTACAAAATGAAGAGAGAAATGAGTATTTTGAAACTGAATGAAGACCTTGTTAGTCAGGGTTTAGCTTATAGCAAAACATTGCATTTTAAGGGCTAAAACAAAGAGTATAAAATGATGTACAGAATAGAGTTGTTGAATGTGATCCACTATCTATTTTCACAAAATTTGCTTGACAGCTTCTAATTAGTGAGTAATGACGCACTGGCGGGTGCAAACAAGAAGATATTGGCACCTTGTACTGTCCTCGTGTACAGGCTTGCTTGCTGGATAGTCATCAAGTGGCCAACATTTGCCAGATCTACTTGCTGCCTGCACTGTCCCTGTTCCCGTGTACAACCACCCCAAGGGTTGTGGACAGTGGAGACTAGTGGCTCTTACTTTATTTCTGTCAGAAACTTGAGACTAACCACATTCAAAATAGAAATTGAATTAAATTTGTAATGATAGATCAGGCTTTTCAGTCATGTTACTGATGAAGTCTGCCTTATTATATTAAACCATTTGATTAGGCTACACTGCTGTTGTGGGAGAGCTTCCAACATATATAGGCTATCGCGCCATTATGTTCGCGATAGTGAAAATGAATTAGAAACCTGATACGATCAGAGTTGAGACTTGTGCAAGATTTTATTGCGTGGCTTGAAAAAGGTACATTAGGTGGCCCATTCCCAAAGAGTAATAATCTTACTACCAGTACAGTCACAAGCCAAGCAACGCATATATCCTAATGTTAAACAAATATAATGGTCACTTTTGGCCGCTCTGGTATCTCCTGCGTATCTTCTTCCAATCTATGAAGGTTCGCAACGTGCCCAACGAGACTAGTGTGTCACACTGACGTAGTAAACCCAAGCTCATCCGCTTGTTATCACAGTCAAGGCTTGAAGTTTAGGCTGTCTAATTAAGAATTTCAGCGTCAGTTACTGTTGCATTCACCAGTGGGGAAAACTAGGCACTTTTCCTTTGTATTCAGACTAGGACCAGGTACGCAGGTTGACTTAAAATACAGAGCCCACTTCCACCTGAAATAAGCAACAGATGCACGGGATAATAAATAAGATGTTTACCCTAAAACACAGAAACAATAGAGCAACTCAATTGGGGAATATGCCAGCATTAATGCAAGGAACACGTGGAAGGATATATAAATTGAAATAATTTCCATCCCAGTCACTGGTATTGAGCCTGTTCATGCTTAGTATTACCACAGCACTTTATAGCAGCATAAACTAGGAAGCTACAATTCTAACAATTGGATAATAAGCTTACCCGCCACTCAGAAAGAAATCATGACAGGTACAACAGTTTCAACAAAAGAATCGACATGAGAAATAGATAGTTGAGGTTATAAAATGAATGACATTCCAACTGAATACACGATACGGAGTCTTGGCCACCGCAATTGCAAACGCTGATCACTAAAATAAAACCAGGAGTCAACGCAGCCCACTCTACACGTTGCCAGCGTGAACCTGGGAACCAAATGAAGGACAAATAGCGCAGCTACACTGCTACAAGTGTAAAAAGTATCTATATTTTTTTATCAAGCTCAAACATGATTTTGGATGTTAGTGTTGCGGTTTGGCTATAGTTATGTGGGTGTGATGAACTTGTCATCAGCTTGTACTTGTCTATTGCAACTAATTGATTTTAATGGGAAATTAAAGTTGGTGTTTTTTGAGTTTTATTACATAGAGTTAAAACAAAGTTACAAAGTTTATTACAAGGGATCAGCAGTTTATGAGACTTCCAGGAATGTGATAAAATGAGCAGTTTAGAAATGGAGAATAGAGAAATAATAGGGTGGGTGGAGTGCTAGAAGGATGTGCTAAGACTGATCCCGTTGGAGATCCCAATGTAGCCATTTGGCTGTAATTATGCAGGTGTGATGAACTTGTCATCAGCTTGTATTTGTCTATTGCAACTACTTAATTTGTAGGGAATTAAAGTTGGTGTTTTCTGAGTTTTATTAAACAGATTTAAAACAAAGTTGCATAGTTAATTACATGGGATCAGCAGTTTATGAGAGACTTTGAGGGTTATGAAAAATGAATAGTTAAGAAATTGAGAATTGTGAGGAAAATGAGTAGTTCAGAATTTGAGAATAGAGAGGAACATGAAACATGCCTACTCTATGGTGCAGATAAATGCAATGCTTTGATCAGACTATTGCACTTGCTGTTCGAATTCTGGTAATACTGTGAAAAAATAAAAAAAAAAGTACAATATTAATTAACACAAAGTAAGATTGATGCTCTACCTGCCCTCTCAATATTTTTGTTAAAATTAAGAATAAAGATCATGTATGCAGGAAGGTTGTGCTTTAAAAATTGTATTTACAACCCCCGTTAACATTAGTTTGTTGATTTCATTGCATCAAGCCATGACCAAAAATTAAAAGTTCATGAAATTTGATGAAAAGTTAAGTTAACCAGGAAAGTCTCTAGTTAGATATAGCCTTGAAAATCCAAGCTTCATATAGTATGGCACCATGCCTACCCTTCATTTTCCCTCACTCAGGTCAAGTATTTAAATATATTCTTTGTCTGGTTTACTAATAATGAAATTGTAAGAAGGCAATACGTAGTTGAAGAGATTTTATTCAATAAATTGCTCAAAATTTAGCAAACATTTTTCTCAGTCACTATCCAGTTGAAATTGCTACTAGCTGAAACTTTTTGTTTGTTTCCTCGAGTCAACATATTTATTGATGTTCTAAGTTGATTCAAGCATGCAAAAAGTGAGTACACTATGAACAAAACAACTTGTGGGTTCAGCTATGCTTCCTCTCTTGGTCTGGGGTCGAGCCATAGTTTGAGAATTATGTATGCAAATTTGTATAAAAAATATATGAAACTTTTAAAGAAAATTTGTACTATATTTTTCAATCAATTGTTTGAATATCTGACCAAATATTTGCTTGAAAATAATTTATGTGTTTCATATTTGCAGAAAAGTAGTTAAAGATGTTGGGTGAGGCTTGCTGCTTCACTATACTGTATGTATTACTTTGTCTGATTGTTATATTTCCTCCTGATGAGATAGCAGGCATGGGGCTTACAGTAGAAAAGCTGTTAGCCTCTTTTTTAGGCTCAGAAATCATGAATTTTGTCCAGTACCACCAGCGTCGCACCACTGCTACTGTCCTGGTGCATTCTCTTCTTATTCCTGGTAAATCCTATTCTAAAGATACATTACCTGTACCATACTGAGTTTTTTTTTAGTTTTTACAATTAATACTATAATAAGTTTTAATCCAAATAATACTGTAAAATAACTGTAATAGCTTTCTTAAACCATAACATTATTAAGATCTTGGCATTCATTAGTCTTATGGCTGTGCTAGCAATTAAAAAAATACATTTTACTTTAACAATGTACATGGCTTGTAGTATGCAACATCTATAATGTGTTTTTTTTTTAGAAAATCGAATTATGCTATGTTATCAAGTCATTATTAAAAGCAATAACTTGATTACTGAATTCTTTTATCTTAAACTATGTTTTTCAGGCTATCTCCTATGGATGAGACAAACTCAGCCTGGAGTCTACTCATGGATGTTCCACTTGCCCACGTTTGCCATTGGAACAACAGTGTTGCTCTTCCTCTCGCCTGTGCTGGTGGCACTGTGTTTGGCTTTATGGTGGCATCACAACAACTGGAGTCAGCATCCCTTGTCCAAATCTCTCACTCACTTCCTAGATGAGCGGCAAGCAAGTCATCCTCATTCCTGGCTGGCACTTGCTACTGAGATAAATATTCAATATCGCAGGTAACCAAGAGAGTGTCCGAGGAAAGTTTAGCATTTTTGCTATGTGCTTTTAATATTATTATATCATTGAGTTTATGGTATTGCTCTTCTCGTGCTGGTTTGCTTCATTCACCACACAATAGCTCATTATGGATGTTGGCTGGCTTGAGACGCCTCACTAGTGACTTTGCTCTCTGGATCCTATAATTTGATCCTGCATTATGTGTTGAGTGTAGGATGAAATTAACATGATTTTATCTAAAATTTCATTCTATGTCTATATTTCATTCATTCTATAATTTCATTCTTCTATATATAAAATTTCATTCATTTTCAAATGCTGCTATGCAAACACTATGATGAGTTTGATATTTTGTGCAACTAGGAAAGATTGCATTGTTAATGGTATTGCAATTTTTATTGCAGAGTTGATAAGCTGAGTACTCAAATTAGCAGCACTTCTCAACTTGTTGCCATTGACAGTTGGCTAATTCAGGTCAGTGCCATCTTAAGTAATATGTAATGCTGTAGGCATGGGACTAGGTAGAGCCTTACATCACATCACCTACTGAAAAGAAATTGAAATTTCATGACATCTAAGTTGGTTTAAATCAATCTTCCTTTCCACCTTGTTTTCATCCATTGCCATTAAGCAAATAGATTTTAAGCAAATTGCAATTAAGCAAATGCCATTAATGGACTTCTATTGGACTTTCTAAAATTGTATTGGCAGATTTGACACAGTTCTTACTCATGAAATTTTAGCAGAATTAATGTCCAATCAATTTTTTTTACTGGAAAGTCCTGTTTGTATGTTTGGTAAAGTATTTATATCATTCATGTGTTGTCAAATTTACCATGCCAAAAATGTACCCTAGGTGAACTCGTACCAAGTGTGTGTGCTACCTCTTGAGGATACATTGGTGGTTCTTGAGGGAGCCATCAACAACACACTGGACACACGACCCTTCTCTGCTGGGGGTAGTGCACAGATTCTCAAGCTCAGAGCCAGATGTGTCTCAAAAAATGTTCCTGACCTCTCTTTTAGGTAACACAAATATTTCTCTTCATTTATTTACTTCTGGTTTTGATAATTTTCCATTTGGTACAGTATGCTGTGAAGTTCAAACAGTTTTTGATCCAAAATCTTCATCTTCATTCTCTGTGTAGGTTTGATTTATCATCTAGGTATCTTGGGAGAAATTCATCATAGCATTACTACAATTTTGAGACTCGACATTTATTTTAGAAATAAAGTCCCCAGTTAATCCACTGACACCTGCATTTTGCTACTGAATCTCTCTTAGTATTATGGCTGAGGAATGTAATGGATAAAATAATTGTCCATCAGGCGATCATCATTGTTGATTTCAGTGAAAAATAATTTGTCATGTAGAAATGTTTTCATGCAGGTTATCATCAACGCTGATGAGCGAGCTTGAACGCAAGCTTGTGATTCCGGTGCTGAACTCAGGCCAGGTGGTCGTGCAGAAGAGTTTAGCTGATCAATTCCTTGAAGTTTTCCTGAAGACCGTTAGTGAGAACCCTCCATACCTGGAGAAGCCTAATGTGAGCTTATAGCGTGTCTATTAGTTAGCTGGTATATATATTGTCACTTTATATAGAGGTTTAAAAAATATAATACCTATAATTATTGTGATGATATCATTCAGGCATGCTGTTAGATTTCTATTTATGTCTAAGCAAAAAAGGTTTTGCTTAATTGCATTAAGCAATTAAGCAAAAGAATTTATACCTGTGAAATAAGGTATAAATTCTTTTGCTGTAAGTATAAGAATTTTTTATATTTAAAAATATTCTTTAAATATGTTACAAATATTTAAAGAATATTTGTAACAACCATAAGTAAAATAAGAATTTTTTTTATGGTTGTTCTTTCAGTATCACTCACTGATCATAATTTAGAATACTGCTAAGTAGAAATGAATCGTTTTAATAAAAAGATTTGAAAGAATCTTTTTGATAAAAATTGTTGTTTATTACAGAGCCTTTATAGTAATTTTTTTTCTCTTTGAGACGATTGTTAGTTAATATCATTCAAGTATGCAAATGCAGTCATTATTAAGTTGCTTTGTGCTAAGAAAATGAAGTATGGGAAAAATGTAGTGAAATAAATAATTAATTATACGTTATTGTGGCAGGAACGAAGAGAAGAAGCTTGCATTGGGTGCATGAGCGCCCCTTCAAACGTGAAGCTGGACAGGCGGTGCCGGGTGCTGGGGGTGGAGCGGCCGGCTGAGGGTGGAGGCGAGGCGCAGTGCGTTGCCTGCTCCTGCCGCCCCATGTGGTGCGTCACTTGCCTCTCCAAGTGGTGAGTATTGCTCCAAGAGGACGCATTGCCTGCTCCTGCCGCCCCATGTGGTGCGTCACTTGCCTCTCCAAGTGGTGAGTATTGCTCCAAGAGGACGCATTGCCTGCTCCTGCCGCCCCATGTGGTGCGTCACTTGCCTCTCCAAGTNACTTGCCTCTCCAAGTGGTGAGTATTGCTCCAAGACGACGCATTGCCTGCTCCTGCCGCCCCATGTGGTGTGTCACTTGCCTCGCCAAGTGGTGAGGACTCTACCCAAGTCCCAAAGAGTTGTTGATGCTAGGCACTGTCACAGGGCAGGAGTGCTTCTCAAGAGAAGTCCACCGCCAGTGCTGACTCACTGGCGGTGTATCATGTATCACTGGTTGTGTGTATCATGGATGTTGTGGCCACGTGGGTCAGAATCCTTATTGTTTTTTTATGGCAAATTGTAACAGCCATTCGGTTTTGGGACCTATTGATAATAAATTGTATTATCAAGTTCTTTTAGGTCAACACGTTGCTCTAGAGATGATATGTGATAAGTATTCCGAGTTGCAGGTTGGTACTTCGACGTTTGTATGTTAAACAGGCGTGGCAGAATAAACCTTCGGCACTCGTAACGCTCTTCACTCTAGAACAAATATTTTTTACAGTGGGATTCCAATTAAGTGCATTGAAGCAAAGATATTCAACATATAGCCTTCCAATTCGTGATTCCGAGTAGATGGCGACATCTATCCTTCTGAAGAGCAGAACACTGCGGCGGTATCCAGATTTCTTAGCTTCAATACAACCTCACAACCCAGAGGTAGAATATACATCCCTTCATATATTTAGAACTTGTAATAGTTAATATTAATTTGTACTCATTTTGCTTGACGAAGCTTTGCCTGACTGGCTCTCGTTTGTGCAGGTTTGCAGCCCGTCAGGACCAAGCTCGTCCGGAGACATGGCTGTCCTCCCGTGCCCCTTGCCCCACCTGCCGCTCCCTCTTCTGCCTCCTAGACGTGAGGCTCATGATGCAGGAGGCGCCAGCTGCCACCCACTGACACCTCTTGCTGAGGCTTCTGTGGCATCAGAGCGTGAGGCTCATGATGCAGGAGGCGCCAGCTGCCACCCACTGACACCTCTTGCTGAGGCTTCTGTGGCATCAGCTCGTGAGGTTCATGACGCAACACACGCATCTTGCACCTCCTATGTTCTGACTTTTTTAGCTTACGTATTTTTAGCGCATTTTCTCATTTATGAAAAAAATGCACTATTGTGCTCGCTGTGTCCGTCAGTCCGTCCGTGACTTCACGTTTTCGTCGACGAGAAAAATGCGCTCTCTGTCACTCACTGCAGTGAGTAATGAGTTATATTTTTGTCTGTATTGCCTTAAGTTCGCGACCCAAGACGTACTCGATGCGCTAGTCTTTCACTAACGTCACTCAGCTTCAGGGTTTGAGGTAAGCGTTTGTTTACCCTAACAGCTGTATAAAGATTATGAGCTGATCACTGGAAAAATCATCGATCAATGTGCCGGGTATCTGCAGATGAATGAAGTAGGTACTCTAATGCGCTATGTAATTTACGAGTTAATGTGAACTTGGCTCTTGTAAACACTCTAATCTGTGATCACTTTGATTAGCTGCTGTTGAACCATCTAGTGCTCTTGTTTCGAAAATTCAACAATTCGGACGACCTATTTATTATTAGAAAAATGTATGTGTCAACAATATTTCGAGTCTTGCATTATTAGTTTCTTCATCCTCGTTTTTTTTTCAGTTTAAAAAACTGACCTATATGATGTGAACTATCTTACTGATTTCATTTAGTGATTCTAACCCGCTTACCTCCATCTTTGATCCATATTAGCACCCATTTATCGAGTTTATTATTGCTAAGTTTCTTCACGTTTTATCTTATAAATTTTTAGAAACACAGTAAATCATATGATTTTAAAGAATTAGCCTCGCAATATATATTAAAGCGTATCACACAGCTGCAGGTCTGAAGGTTTGGCCCAGGTTTGCAACACTTCTCAGTGTGCAAGCTACGAACAATGATGAGTTTGCACAGAACTAGCAATTCCAGGACAGTCTAATGCATAATAATAAGTAAAAGAAGGTTTAGGCTACTCTCCTAGAGGGCTCTTCTTCATCAAAACGTAGACTAACATGCCGCCTGATGGAATTACACAATCATTCTGTACTAAATGATTTATGTTTTACAATTTTCACGCATTTTACTTGGGGTTGGATCACAGAAATTTTTATACAATCAAAAGATGTTAGACGTCAGCCTCTAAGGAGGAAAAAAAACTTGCATCGCTTGTTATTGTTGCTATGAAAAGGAATATCTTAATTGTCTATGTCATTGCGTGGAATATAATTGAATAAATACTTTTATTCATGGTAAATCTTTCTACAGATTTAAATTTTTATGAAATAATACACGATATTGAACTCTGCTATTAAGTGTGTTACTTCCTTGCAATGGGCTGAATCACCGAGCCAACCTAGGCGAAGACTTCCCATGTTCTCATTTGTGCACTTGGTACTCTCATTCTCTCGCGTTGAGTTTTAAATTTCCTATCAGCATTATTTGGCGCTTAATTGAGTATTATCTTGACTAACTTATACAGCTATTGTGAGTGATAATATGATGAAATTACTTCATTTTGGTCAGTTCTTCTGTAATGTGAAGCATTTATTTATGAATCTGGCGAATGCATGAATTTCTAAAGAGTGTCTTGTGCAGGATTCGGTACCATTCTATAATGCTCCGGGTTCTATTATTATTTATTTTTTAATCGCAAGGGGGCGGGGGGAGGTGAATTCAGGCAATGCTATTGTTTTATCTTCGGGAAGATTCGTGGCTCGTGTTACTCGTAGACAAGATCAGCAAGTTCCGTGTTTTGCCTCCCGCCTTGGGAGCTTTGACAACCCCACGAACCTGAGTCTAATAAATCAGTACCGTTGGGCACGACTTTATACAGGCTGTTGTGTATTTGTTATCATTCAAGTGCGGAGGTTGTTCTTATCACTGTTCTAGTATCTGCTCAAGGATTCATTTGTGTCAATAAATAATTATCACGAAAGTTCCTGAATTTATTCTGGAGATAAAATGTACGACGAATTAAGCTCAGTTAAAAGTAGAAAAATTGCTTCTCTCATTACTTTTTTACCTTTCTCGGATAGAATGATTGAGATTTTTAGTAGCAAACACACGCGTGTGTGTGTTATAATAGTATATAATTTAAAAATTAGAAATTTATTATGATGATGGAATTGACCACTTCTATTGAATAAAAGTCGTAGAATTCAGGCATGTGGAAGGTCGTATAAGATCTAATTAATGCATGAATTTTATTAATTTGTGCCACGAAAGCTGGCACACATTATGTACGACATGGCCTACAGCGAATAAGAAATACCCGGTGAGAGTGCGACAGTCTGGCCGCAGACTGAAGAGCCTGCTGTGGTGGCATCCGTGCCTGTTGTCAGGAACATGTCTCGAAATGAGGTTCTCACTGCCACCTGCGCTGATTCAAGTGAGTCAAGTCAATTTGTGGTCATATTAATGATATTCCAGTGAATAAATCTGGTTGTTGCTGAGGTGATTTGTGTCGCGCGATGAGACTCTCGTCCCGCATGAAAGGCCAGGGCTGTGCTATAAAAGATACTTACGAGTTTGTGCCTTTGGCAGACAATACTTAAGTGACGGTTTTTCAAGTTAAACCTATCAACCATAGTCGAGAAATCGGACGCTACGTGTACTTAGGCCGCTACATTATGTTTTGGCTATACCATGTCTTCGCAATTTGTCATTATTCGGCTTCAACAGCGTAATGTAATAAATCTTCATCACTGGTGTTTCAGATGGGAAGACGAGCATTGAAGTGAGCGAGGTGCCACTGGAAGATCAGGACGTGGCTGAACGTTGCCTCTACGTTTCTGACGCCAGCGCTGCTGTGCAGAGCTACTCTTTGCCGTCTATCCACGGTCTAGCATGGTAAGTCTACCGACGTCTGACCCACGGTCTGAAGTATACCGACGAATATTTATGTGATTTTCTTGTAATCTTATTTGAGTGCGGACTTCTTTTGCAGCAATCTATTGGATAAATTAATTATCAAATATACATTCACTTTTTTGGACTATGTAGAACCTCCTAGAATGACGAAAGTTTTAATAGTTTTTGGAATATTTTACATTTGTATAGATTTTGTAAAGTTTTGAAGTATACCTCATAAGCTGGTAAGGGACCGTGTTCTCAGTGCCAGGGCCGGCATGCATCATCAAGTTTGAACGTCCTCAAACCAGGGTTCATGTTCATGATAAGCTGGTTATCTAATGAATATTTTCCGTTAGATTAAAAAGTTTAGTGATTGGTTGTTATTATTAATCAATTGGACCTGTTCTCATAGGAGACCGTCCGAGTACTGTTCATCGCCTCCATCTTATGACTCGAGTTCAGCGTCCGCAATACGGCGCTTCAAGGAGTTGCCTGTTCGCTGCCACCTGTGCCGTAGGAGCAAGTCATTCACTCGTCCTCTATCACTGATGCTTCATATCCACAAGTTCCACGTGAGGAAGGCTGTGCAAGTGGCTGGCTACACCCTCCTGTGCTGTCACTTGTGCGCTCACCGCAACGCTCACTATCATTGTCCTCACTGCTCATATTCCTCCTCTAGCATGACAGACATCAAGCGGCATTTTCTAACACATAGTCGCAGCCAAACAGCCACCTCACATTCCTCCAAGAAACAAAAATACCCTTCTATTCTGCGAATAAACTTGAATAAACGGGAACTTCTAGCATTTTCTAAACAATTTTCTGATGTTTGGTTGAGAAGGCATCGAGGAGCACGTGCCCGAGGTTATTCCAGAAGTACGAGTTACGTCGTCTCTGATTTTGTTGATACGTTTGTTTCTAGCTCTGTTCCTAGACATTCTTTTGAAAGTATCTCAGACGAAAAGAGAGTTTTGCGAGAACATAATTGTTCTTCAGGATTAGATGCATGTCCAGCGATTGAAGATACTATGAATGAAATCAAGAAAGAACCGCTGCTAGATTACGAGATTGGGGACGTTACTGTGCCACCATTGTTCCCAGTCGACAGTATTGCTGTGAAGGCAGAAGGCGACGAGTCATCCGATGTTTTAGTGCACGTTTTCCCTTCAGAAGAGGTGTCTCGGAACTGGCGTTTGAGTCTCCCTGCTTCTATCCAAGCAGCCTTTGACAAGCTGTCGTCTGAGAGGTGCTATCTCTGCTCTCAAAATCTTATATTTGAATCTAAGTTGGCTTTAGAAATTCATTTTTACCGGCATCACGTCCGCCACAGTATCGTGGAGTTCGACTGCTGCGTTGGTCTGGTATGCAACCTTGGTTGCTATGGCATGGACAGACACTGCCACTGCCACAGATGTTCTTTCCTGGCTGAGGATCTCATAGAGGTGCGTACTCACTATGCTAAGTACCACGCTGCTGGCGGCGACAGGAAGAAACATCAGGGTTCCAACTCGGCAAAAAATAAATACTCAAGTGACAGATTATGCAACGCTCAAAATCAAGCCTTTGCAGCGGATCGTCTCTCACAGATCACCGGTCTAGAATGTTCAACTCTCCTGTGTCAGCTTTTAGAGTTAGAAGTTGATGCCGACGCTGCTGTCATTTGCCCCATGATTCCATCGCGGGTGCGTGAGAGCATCGTGCTGGATGCTGTTACTTTACATGCACAAATCAGGCCTCCTTATTGTTTACTATGCGACGACGGTCGCGAGTACAAGACTTCCAGGCTGTTATTGCAACATTTTCAGCGCAGCCACGTAAAGCGCGCTAACAGAAGCTGTGCTTTGCCGTCTCTCATGTGCCGCCTCTCGTGCAAAGGCTTCTGCAGAGGTCATTATCACTGCCCTCTCTGTCCCTACGTCATGCATGACCTGACGAAGCTCAAGGTGCATCAGCAGAAGTTGCATGGTTGCGCACTCGGCAACGCTAATAAGGAGCTGTTTGCTGGTCGCACCATCACTGCTGAGAGCCTCGCCAGGCTTGAAGGAGGCGAAGACGCCGTGAGGGAGAAAACGTGTCGAGGAAGTCATGTCCGACACAAGACCAGGTCAGTTGTCTTTCATTTAATTTAGCTCCGTGTTGGATTATGTCAATGTGAAACCTAAGTATGTTGTTTAGTTACGGTTGTGTTGAATGTTTAATTAAAAAGCTGTCAATGGTTTTAAATTTTGATTAAAATTGCCGTAGCTGCTGAGAAAAAAATGTTGATTTGTTTTCATTCTCTTCTTATATCATGAAGACCTCTTGTGGCGAATATGGAAGGATCAGACGTTCCATGCCCGCTTCCTGTTTCAATCGTGCAAGACATTGCCTCGGCTCGGTCCCTGCTGTCTCTGCCAGACTGCTATCTCTGTCGTTTTGAGCGGAACTTTTTCACCGAACGTCGACTTGCGGATCATTTCGAGCGGATGCATATGAAACGGTCCGTAGACTTCCCGCCATACCGCATCCTGAGCTGTCACTTGCACAACGACAAGTACCGAGACCGCGGCCACTTCCACTGCCCTTGGTGCTTCTTTGTAACCCACGACAGGCTCATCCTCCGCTCTCATCTTACAAAACACTCGTGCAAACTGAAGCTGGCTAACCGAACTCTCGAAGCTCCTAAAAATTGCTGTGAAGGAAGAGAAATTACCGGCCCTTCCCGCGATAAAGAAGCGGTCCGGCCTGTAATGCGACGTTGTGGCAAGTTAGTGAGGTTGTTTATTACGAGCGTCTCTTGAAATTTTTGTAGGCCTATCACTGGAATTGTTTTGGGTCTATTGATACTTGTTATATATTTATTATCTGATAATTTACGATATTTTGTTAGGGATCAATGCAAACGAGTTAAATTCGTGCCAAATGGTTCATCCTATCTTTTGCCAAGAATTAATGTAGAGTTTGTTTCCTATTATGCTAGAAAGTGTCGAGCAAAGCTTTGAAAACCTCCTAAATTAACCGTTCATACTTTCTTTAAATCAGAACCCAATTACGTCTCTGGAAACAACGTTTCAACGCATACGTCAACCGTAACTTGGGTTCTGAGTTGGGCTGCGTTTTGCGTCTCGTGAATCGTCGCATGCGTCAGCAAATCACAAATTTAATCAACGAAGGAATTTCCGACGCCAGCCAGAAATGTCCTGCCTCCGAATTCCGCCTCGTTGAAACCCCGAAACCTGCTAAGCAACTTGTGAAGATTACCTCTACCGCACGGGTGATTAACACGTTATTTTTTTGTGTTGTTGCTTATTCTGTATTGAGTACCTATGCAAAGTTTAAAGATAATTCATTCCGGGCCGGACCTGCACTCATATCTGTCAAGTAATAAATTCATTTGCGGAGAGGAACTTACTCGCATTGCATGACACAGATTCAAATGATATTTTTGGTAACGTAACCTAATTTTAAGCCTTTTTTCACCGGAAATTTACCTTTCACTACTATAGGCACAGGATGTAACATCCACTCATCGCTGGCCTGAAGCTCCTTCCCCCGGTGGCGTGGGCGTCTCCAATATAATAAGGACCTCAGGAGACGCTTCAGGCTCTGAGTCTCCTGGAGTGGCGGGCCACGAGGAGTTATTTGACGTGCTCTACAGCGCCCACGTCACTGCATCTGGTGTACATGTGCCTGCTTCAGACATGGTCTCACACGTCAGTCCATTTGTCTGCTAACTCTTAAGGGTATTTAGAAATAATAAAAATAGTGTAATGGATAACATATTTCCATCTTAGAAATTATGTATTTATTTGCATGGAAATTATGTTCTCGTTTGAATTGCATTTTTTCGTCATTTGTTCAGTTTTTAACTGGAATTAGTATTCAATGCTTTGATTCTTCCTTTATAAAACATTTTTTTTGGAGTAGGGTTAAAGTTGGTTTGAGCTCAATATTATTGATTCATCTCTTTTTAAATTTATTTTCTTTAATAATGTGAAGATAGGCAATCTTGATCATAATCAATTTTGCTCTTCTCTCTACTCTGAAGCTGCCACGACAGTTTGCCCTCACTCCTCGCCGCGTTGTGATGAAATTTATTGAGTGGTGCCCTGTGTGCCAGAGGGCGGCGCGCCAGTCCTTCACCCAGAACAACAACGTCAAGCTTCTTAAATCTGACGGCTTCTCCACCGACGACGGTACCGTGATGAAGGCTGCAAGTCGTGACGACGTCATGACAATCCGACGTGTCACTGTTGAGATGTTCACGCAACTGCAAACTTCGGCGACTCTTTCTCCTGGACCAGGCGGAAGAGAAGAAGATTCTTCTGTACGACAACTGTCCGAAATTGAAACCCCTGCAGCTATATTCAAGGGTATAGGAGAGTCAATTTTATTATATTTTTGTATCAAATATGTGCTTAGATTGTCTATTGTTGTACTGGCCTCAAAGAACTCATTGTGATCAATGGTATCCTATACCTACACTTCACTGTTGGTGGAACATGTTACATCTAAATTAACAAGTGTTATAATTTTTATGATTATTGAACGTGTTGATTATTTATTTCGTGCTCATTATTTCTTTGAACGTGAATCCAGGTGGTTTGGAGGCTGGTGCATTGCTTGGTGCTGCTCATCGTGAAGTGTCTCAGGATTCACGAAACTTTTTCGCTCCCATGGGTGGTTTGGGTTCATTAGCAGAAAATTCTACTGCTTCTTCCTGTGAGCTTCGAGGTTCCGAAGAGAAGAGGTCCTTCTCAGCTAATCGTTTCATGGATGTGATGCTAGTGAGAGCATTTATTATTTTTATCTGGGTGATATTATTTAACAATCAACTTGTGAAGCTTGAAAAAGGTTTTCCTCTTATTTAAACACTAGTTTGTCCTGATTTTTGAGGAAAATATAATGTACTTTACCTCTTCACACTAGAAACCGGATCTTCTCTGACCGTAAATGTGGCAAGCGTTTGGTAATATTTCAAGCTATTATGTAGCACTGATCATAATATTAATAAGTAATACTTCTCAGTTGTAGTTTCTATGTTTATTTCTTCACTGAGATTAATTACGAGGTTGCAGGTGAACGTGATAGACATGCGTGACCACCCTGACCGCGGCCACCACTACATCGTGCACTGCCAGGACGCGCACACGAGGCTGCACTTCTTGCTTGCGCTGCGCCAGCTCAGACCGTCACACATCGCCCGCTGCATCATCCGCAAGGTTTGCTTATGCTTTACTTAGCCATATTTATTAATATATTTCTTTAGTTTGCTTTCAAATTATTTGAGAATGATGTCATCAAATAAGAAAAAACATTTGATGAATTATGGGTTATATCCAAGGTTATTTTTTTTCTATTTTAAGCATTCATCACTTTCAGTAGGGGTTTGGCTACTTAGTTTGCGTGTGAACTAGAAATAATGAATACTGTTTAAAATTTCAATTTAGATGCTCTTTGATTGTGTTTATAATTTTATGACATTTTTCTTTGACATAAATTTCATTTGTTGTTTTAACATGAAAATAACTGGCGGTCACCGCTTATGCCTTACATCGTCCTCCCAAATCAATGCGCACCTTTTATGCATCAGCAATTAATCTTTAATTATGATATATATTTCTTGAACTGATTCGATACTTCATTTTAATGTAACGAGATAAGTAGATAATACATGGTGTTGTAATGGAGAATCTTTATTCATTTTTGAAGATAAACAAACTACACTGAGCATGCATGGTCGACCTGAACAGGCTTTCATATTGCTTCTTATGTGCGCAGGTGCTTGCGGTGACCGGAGTGCCTGCCCTGATAGTCAGCAACAACGGAAACGAGTTTGTGCAGTCACTAGTGAGCCAGATCAGCCTCATGTGGACTGGTGAGTTGGTGGTGATCAGCCTCATGTGGACTGGTGAGTTGATGGTGATCAGCCTCATGTGGACTGGTGAGTTGATGGTGATCAGCCTCGTGTGGACTGGTGAGTTGCTGGCCTTTATAATGGGACCTTGAGAAGTCAGTTTTGAGCAGAATTGAAAAATGTGAAAACAGCTACTTATGAGGAGCCTAATTAATTTCACAAGCATTTTGTTTACGAGAGAAACATTTTTATTTACGTTGCATTAATTTCACATGAGAGTGATGAAATGAAGGAATTAATCTAATTCTTATTTCGTTCAACAAAGAACCTTCTTGTATCCTCTTACTTATCAGGACATATATACTACTAATTTTGAATATGAGGGAAAATTCTACAGAAGTATGCGTGTTGAACGTGTCTGTGTCGCGCAGGCTCGTGCAGCGCTCTCGTTGACAACTGCAAGTCGCAGAGCGCAGCGGCGGCTCGCAGCGACATCGTGTGCGACAGCAGCGACGTGCTAAGGGAGCTCACGCGCCGCCTGCTCGACGCCCTGCACGACCAGCGACACGTTTCCTGGACTCTCTGGCTCCCGTATATCCAGTGTTAGTTGTTCTTCATGTGCAGTAAATTCTAGATTTTCTGCTCCTTTACTTACTCCTCGCGAGATACTGCAGCTGATGTTAATTATTTCATTTATGTGGTATGCAGAATGCCGGTTGCTCTTCATGTTGAATTATTCCGAGCAATCAGCAGATTTTGACTTCTTGCGTTGAGAAAATGGAATTCCATGCTGAATAGCTGGTTTAGCTACTCGCCGTATTGATATCCAAGAGTTATAGTAATTAGAAAGAGATTTTTTTATCACATTCAGTCTTTCTATGCCTGTGCATGACTAATTTAGATTCTTGCTACATTCATCATCAGTTGCTTCTAACTGAAAAATTGTCTGTCGAATTAAATGAGCATGTAACTTTAATTTTAAATACCTACTGATATTTCTTTTTCTACTTCATTGGTTGTTTTTTTAGAGCGTCAAATGCGTGTAAGCAATTGAATACGACAGCTGTTGAAAACAAGTTAAATTGTATTACGTAAATATTGTCTATTAACACAATTCTCTCGGTAATGCATACAAAAAACATTCAATCGGGCCCATTTTTTAATCTATAAAATTAGGATTAATTACAATTCAGTCCTCTGACTGTGATTTTCTTGCATGTAGATACCCTGAACACCGAGACGAAGTTGCCACAACTTACGCCTTTTCAAGCGGTGTTCAGACGCAGCGTGGCGGGCGCTGTGAAGAAAGCTGACGTCACACCTCATGACTTGCAGGATGTTGCAGATAACATTCTAGGTTACTGTCCTCCCCACTCACCTTCTGAAAGCAGTGACGCTGAGGAGACTTCTAAAGAAGAAGAAAACAACGTTGAGGTCATGGATGTCACAACAGCAAGCTTTTCGGTGGACGATGGTATCCTGAATTACGTTGAAGTGATTTTACCAAAGGAAGAAGATTTTGGTGCAAGAAGCGATCAACCTGAGATGACTGCACCGCTTGTTAATGCATTCAAGGTTCAAGCTGAAATAGATAGAATAAAAACTTCGGATAGATTCTCTCAAGAAGTTTCTGGTAAGCTCGAAAACAGCGGTCAAGGAGACCTCAACCCGCACGGCGTTCGTGACGCCATGATTGACCCGCAGGGCTCAGGACTTCCTGAATCCACTTCTCTCAGGCTCTCTGGTCCAAACGTTGTTCCTGTCGGAATCTTTCCTTCACTTGACTCAGACGGGTCCGACGACAGTTTATTTGTTTAAATCCATGTTAGTTAAGTATTGCTACCTGCGAATAATTTTTTCCAGCTTATTAAAGTTCAGTGTTAACCACTTCTGGCCCAGTGGTTAAAGTTCAGAGTACTAAGATTGTCGCAGAGAGGTGCGGCTTGGAGCAGAGAGGTCCCAGCCCTGTGCGCCAGTTTCTGGTCAGAATCGGCGAGGAGGCCGGGCGGTTAAGCACAGCAGAATTGTAGCAGTGAGTTGCAAGTTCAAGCCCGCATCAAGCTGTGGATGTTCATCGATGTTAAGAATCGGCGACAGGCCTTCGGCCTAATAAACGCTAATACCGCTATTATTATTATTATTATTATTATTATTTTGTTGAATTTTATGTACGTTTTGTTATTTAAAAAAAACGGAAATACTATTTACTGTGCTTAATTTTGAATGTGCGTGGGTCCTGCCAGAAGATTGCTCTTTCTGTTTGTACAAAAAGTTGCAAAACAACCGAGTCTTTGGCTCGAGTTGGGTCAGTAATATGGCTGTAGATTTTTGTTTTTACGGGTAGAATCAAGACTACAGTGTTTTGTGGGGTTCATACTTTCTAAACCAGCTCTTTAATGGAAAATTACCCTCTGAAACCCACTCTTTAAATCTCTAAAGTTTGTATTTTCAGGTAGGAAATATTTTGTCCTCACTTACTTGCATGAAATATTCTATTGACAAGTTATTGGGATACAGTTTTCCATGCTCTTTCATGAATGAAATTAATCGTTGATTGTAGTAATTGATGGAGATAGCCGCCAGTACTCGATTGATTAGCACTTTGATGTATCCAAATTACAATTGTAAACATTATTATAGAGTACCGTTCACACAAACTTTAATATAGGGAGCAGCGCTGTGGAAGATTTAACAGAACTTCGACAACACTCTGGCATCTGCTGAAAGATCAATGCCTGGAACCGGAATTTCCTAAGTGACAGGAGCAGTCGGCTTTGATAAACGGATCGAAATCTAAATTTGTTGCTATGGAATCGTAGGTTATTTTGGATTCCATTTGGAGAGGATTTCCATTTTAATGCGATTTGGAGACTCGTTATGCCCATCATTGACAAGGAAAACTACCCTTGGCTTCATCAGACGGAACGTTAGTATCTTGTGGAAATCCATGATGGCGGCTGCCTACGAAGCTATAATCTGCTTCATACTGAAGAACGCAACTTTTGTGTAGGATTCACTTTCCTCAGAAAATATTGTTGCACTTGACTAGGCGCAGTAAGCAGCGCAGCGAGTCTCGTCGTTTCCGTCGAGCTTTCAGTGTGGACAGCATAGTCCGTGCCCTGGGAGGGCCAACGTTGCTTCCGTATTAACAAAAAATTAATTGGTGTAAAAATCTGAAAAAATTCCATTCTCAAAATACTGATATTATCTACTTATTTTCCAAATTTGAATAAAATCCGTTCATCATTGATGGATTTATGGCTGGCAGAGTTGAACGTGAAGTTAGGTTGTGCATTCAATTGCACAGGCCAGTTCGCAGGCGAGTTCGCTAATGTGTCGATTCGGTAAGCTAAAAACTGCGGTGCACGTGTCATGGGCACCGCAATTGGAATTGTATAACAACGTCCGTGATGATATTGTTGACGCTCCGAGTATGAACGTGTTCAAGAATAATCTGGACAATGTATAAGTATGCATATGTAACTATGCAAAAGTACATGTTCAGTCATGAAAATACCTAGCACCCTACGTAGCTAGTTAAGGGTTGTGATCATGATGATGTGAACCAAAGTCTGTTTGAAAGATCATGTCAAAAGGACTGTTTTTAGATTTGCAAACAAGCCACGAAATATGCAACAATCGGCTACAGGCCTAAGCAGGCGTATTTCTTCAACGCCGAAGTTGCCATAATCTGCTAATCCAGGGGCAACGAGTGCCCTGTTTTGGTCATCACAAAACGGACAGCAACATCAACCTGGTTAACGGGCATTGGCGCGCTTAATTCGAATGCAAGTGAAATCGGAAGGAAATATTAATAAGCTTTATCTGATTATCCATGAGAATGGTTAACTGGATGCCGCAATTGTTATGCGTGCGGTGCTCTAACACCCAAAGCAAATTACATATAGTGAAATGTGTTCGAAAAGTTCTGTTAACGTTGTGTCAGTGATTGAAATTGCGAAAACAAGGTTTGCATCTGCCGCCAAAACTAGGTAGCCTAGGTTGTGCGGACTTCCTTTGTTCCTTACAAATTCAAAATTGTGTATTTTTCAGCCTTTCAGCCACTTCAAGCTGGAACATAAAATTGCTAATGCAAATTCTTAGAATTAAATTTACTTCTGAAGTTCTGACAGTGGAAAGGAATCCCACAGCAAGTGTGTGGTCACACAGATAGACTGCATTGGTCCATAGCGTGCTGGGGCTGCGGCAGCAACCTAGTCTAGCGAGCTCTGACCTCTGAGTCTGCTGCTTGCTGCTTTGCTTTTTTTTCTGACAGAGATCAGGCTGGTGGGCGCTTTTGTCGCCACAAGTCTTAAGTCTTAACCCCAATTATAAAAAAAGTGGAAAGGAAAATTTATTTATTGTTTTGATTTCTTTTAGTTTTAGGTACATTACAATCAAACCATGAATACCAAAATTACCAAGGTCCAACTCCAAGTATCTACCTATTGTACTTGTAAGTTGTAATGACTACCTAGTGAGGTGGGTGGGGCCCAGTGTGGAATTCTGTATATGTAATATATTCTCATGTCAATACCTATAAGAAAACATATCAAATACCAACCCTACCACCGCGTTACACCACCTTCCACTGCAATGAAAATGTATAAACTGAGTTCATTAGAAACCGCCGTGCTTCCGAAATCGCGCGTGGTTTTTTGAAATCCAATCCCGTGTTGCCAACGACTAATCAAGTTAACTAGTCGTTAATCTGTTGGCTAGCGGACACATTTTTGCAATAAATACGTTCTAAAATAAAAAAAAACACATCCAGCCTTGTAAAAAATTCTCACGATTGGACAACACCAACAAAGTTTTCGATTTCACACAAAATTATGAGATAAACTGCTACTCTTCCACTGCATATGTTCACAATGTGTTTTCTATGTTTACGTATTACAAGACGGTGTCACACACAGTAATGTTTTGGTTGTGTCTATTTTGATTTCACAATAAATAGATTTAATTCACATTCCATTCTCAGATTCAAATGATTGAAAGTTTTTTTTTAATTATAAAAACCCATTTATATGTTCCAGATTTGAATTTTTCTATTTTTTGCCCTATTATGTTAAATTTATCTTGATAAATTCACTTCAAATTCTGAATGATTTTGTCTGCCATCCCGCGTTTTCGAAAAGTTTTGTGTCTTTTAGAAAATTTTCGTTGTTTATCATGGGAAACTATTTCATTTGTTTTCATTATATAAAACATAGAGCACGCACCATATAGTGCATTAATAATACAATTTAATTTAATAAAAATTAATTTTTAATTTAAAAAATATAATCAGATTTTTAATTCAATATTTTTCTAATAGAGTTTTATTCTACAGCATGTAGGGTAAACGCGGTATATTCCGACACATTAAGGACGCATCGAGAAATGAAAAACTATTAAAAAAATAACCGTATGCATTACTCGAGTTCTGTTTGCTTGATGTGACTAGCAAAACACCATACTATGCGCCAGCAACAATGAAACATCACAAAATATTGCCATATTTATATAAAAGCCTTTAGAATGCAAACCTACCAAATCCCCACACTCAGGATGATGTATGTTTTTGGTGAATTTTCCCGTGCATTTTCACTTTTTTTAAGCTATTGCTGTGCTCAGTTGGCGCAATGTAATGAAAATTGATTCTCTTCGCGCACGTGTTCGCGCAATCCCGGCCATCAATTCTATGTCGTGCTGCCGCGCACGAGCAGTATGTGGAGGAACAGACGTAATACTCACATTACTCAGTACAGTATGCCTTTAATTATCTTTCAATAATATATGATTTTTCTTGATACGGAAATTTGGTGAATGAGAAATCTAGAACTTTATTTTTGAAGAAATTTTCTCCAAAGTCATATGGCAACACTGAACACCGTCTGTTTACATTTCGTATGTATAATAGCCGCAGTTTACGATTACCGTACGTTCCGTATCCGACAAGGCGGACAAGCGGAAGAGTCCGAAGTAACCCGGATATGTCTTACATTTTATTATTGCCAGTTCGACTTGCGTAGTCAATATACTCGCGTATATTGTCGACTAATATAGTATAACTATTTTAGCTTTCTAAAGTACGGCGCACGGCACATTTTTTTACCAGCATAGTACGGCTCACCGCGCAGGTCGTTAAAATAACAAAATAAATTCCCGCGCACCTGGCACATCTTCCTGACCATGGCCAAATCCCTGTATTCCGACACTGTGTGTGGCAATATTCGGCATGTAGTGAGGCGCATTCCGTCCGCGCTTCAAATTCTACTGATACGTAATGCCGTCATCCACGTGTTCAAATTCCGTTTGCTGTGCGAGCTGTATTGGAATACAACACGGCTTTGAATTAGAACACTAATGAATATTGAACACTGCTTACAGCAATCCCTTGATTAGCACGGTTTTGAATACCGCGGTTTTGATTAACGCGGAAAAAAAATTACACGGTAAAACTCGGGGATTTATTAACCGCGTTAATCAAGGGATTGCTGTATTCTTAAGTTTGATTAGCGCGGTTTTGCTTAACACGGTAAAACTTGGGGATTTATTAACCGCGTTAATCAAGGATTGCTGTATTTACGCTTTTAATTAATAACTATTAAGCTTTTAATTAAGCAAATTTTAATTTTTGTACATAGCTTGGAATGATCTGTGTGTGTCCAATTCAAGTTGTGACAAAATTAGTTTTCATGTTTCTAAATCCATTTCTCAACTTAATCATCTATTAATTTATTTACCATTTGAAATCAGCAAATACAAGTATACTTAAAGGATTCCTAATATATTCACAGATGTATTTAAAAGTCTCAAACCATAATATTCTTCCCATACAAACAGTTATTCACTATTTGGTACAGCAAGGTCAACTGTCAAATTTGATACATTTTTCGATGATCTCACTGGGTAAGCGTGCATTGTCTCTCTTTGGATCTCAATATTTTCCCACTAGATGGCCAAGACCTAGTGTTTTGGCAGTAGTTTGACGCGCAAATGTATGATGTCACCATTTCAACCATCAAAGA